TCAGGAGGTCATCCCAAAGCACTTCATAAGATATTTTGCAAAGTGCAGCAACTGTGTATTTTGTGGGCATGCAAATATGTGCACAGTCGTGTCCCACAAGCAGCCATGAAATGAATGATCAATTTTATTTGGGGATTGTTTGCCAGGACAATTTCTCTTTTCAACTTCTCCCTTCTCTTTTTGAATAATGCCATGGGATCTTTAATGTCACCTGGATAGGCAGATGGGGCCTTGATTTAATGTCTCATCTGAAGACAACACTTCCAACAATGCAGCTCATCTTGGAGCACCACATTGGAGTGTTATCTTAGACTATTTGTCAAGTCCCGATGTGGGGCTTGAACCCACAACCTACTGACTCAGAGCTTAGAGTGCTACAACTGAGCCAGCCTGACACACAATAACAGAAAGCTGGGTCAAAAAGGTAGCCATATGATGTAGTCTATCTAGACTTGCAAAAGGCATTTGACAAAGTGCCACAAGAAAGTGGTAACGTGATCACAAACTGTGGTCACTGGGTATCAAGGGCAAGACATGGGTTCAGAATTCACTGAATGGAAGGAAGTAGAGAATCTTTGTTACGGGAGTAAGATCCAAATGGGTAGAGGTATGAAGCAGGGTGCCCCAATGGTCTGTAATGGGACATGCCCCACCTCGTATTTATTACTAAGCTCGATTCGCACACCCAGTGTAAATTAGTTAAATTTCCAGATGACCCCAAGTTGGGGAACTGTGGAATCAGAGAAGGCAACAAAGAGAGTTTGATAGGTATGCACATGGGCGGATAGCTGGGAAGTGAAATGTAATACTGATAAATGCAAGATACTACATACAGGATGCAAGAATAGGAAACGTAAGTACTCCATGGATGGGACAGAACTTGCCAAGGGGGAAGCTGAAAGAGATCTAAGGGTAGGTTAGTTGGCGCATCGCTTACTATGTCAAAACAGTGCGAGGCAGAAATAAACAAGGCTGTTGATGTGTATTGCTAAATCAGTTGAGTTTAGATCCCCAGAAGTCATACTTAGGCTGTATAAACTGTCTTTTTAGATTGCACTTTGAGTACTGCATACAGTTCTGGTCACCATGATGTAAGGGGGCATTGCAGAGGAAAGCAATGAGGAGGATTCCCAGTGTTAAAGGAATGAGCTTTGAGCAAAGCCAATGAAAAATTGTGGAAATAGTTGCCAAAAATTGCGGGGAAATTTGACAAATTTTGCGGAAAATTGCAAGGGGTTGATTGGTGCAATTGAGGTACATTTTACTGTCAACCTACATTTTTTCACTTTATTGATAAAAACTAAACATGAGGAACTAACACACACTAGATTGTTGCAAAGAAAATATTAATGCTTTCTTTAACAAACAAACCTGGGTGGCCCTTTCAGGGTGGGTGGGGCGGGGGGGTGGAACGTTGACACTAGCGTAGGCCCAAAGAGCCGAATGGCCCATTTCCACCCACACTACATTTGAAGGCCTGGAGATCTGCCAAAAGCAAGCATTGCTCGCCAAACTCACCAGTGTCCTGACTCCGGGGCTACAGGAGGTCACCACCTACTGTCTCTCGGGGCCCCCTACCACACACAGACACAGAGAGACACAGAGAGAGACACAGACACACAGACAGAGAGAGAGACACACACAAAGACAGAGAGACAGAGAGTATACTTCATTTTTACACACTCAGAGTATACTTCATTTTTACATTTTTTTTAATGAAGGTTTATAGCGGCGGGCACTTGTTTATGGCAGAAGGTGTTGCTTATGGCAGAGGGTGTTGTTTATTGCAGAGGGTGTTGTTTATCGCGGATTCAGCTGAAAAATTGCGGCCGCACTTTTCTATTGGCCCAGTCTACAAGCAACGAATGGACAAGCTGAGTCTTTTTAGTCTTGAGACAAGATGACTCAGAGAGACCTCATAGAAGTGTTTACATTTTAAATGGGATTGAAAAAGTGAACCCATATCATTACGTTAGGATGCACTAAGACAGTAGAACAAGAGGACATAGGTTCAGAGATGTAAAGAGCAATTTCAGGACAGATACCAAGAAGATTATCTTTACTCAGAGTGCAATTAACGAATGGAATAGGTTGCCAGTAAAGTGGCAGTGAAGTACAGGCTAGGACACTGGACTCCTTTAAATAGCAGCTTGATGCTCTGATATGGACAATAGGTTGGGTGTTCTGGAGGGATGAGATCAGATGGGTTGAAAACTTCTTCATCCAAACCAATCTGTGATCTTGAGGTCTTAAGACAGGCTTTAAACATGGGGTTGGAGGGGGGAGGGAGGTATCAGCTCCAATTGAGGATAGTAAGAAAATAGAATAACAGGTCTTTGTGGGTATTAATAAACCCTGATATCACCTGGAAGACTACGGTTTTTATACTGTGGTTTCAGAGACTTTCAAAATCTAGTGCCAAACTGGCCTTTGACATGATCCCTGGACTTCTGAAATCTGCTGGCAACTACTGATGTTCTGCATGTGTGAAAATGTCTTGATGGAGGTGTCATGACGATTTTCACACGTGCAAAACACCATCAAAATATATTATTGTGGTCTTTGCTGGCCAAGTAGCAATGGCAAAGGCTAGGAGTTATCCCTGAATTTCAGGCGATTTGTTTCCCGCCAATTAGGAGTTACCTTCAGAGACAGGCTCATAATATAAAAGAGGCATGGGCAGTGCATAGGTCTCTCTGATTATTAGGAAACATTAATGCATTATTCCAGGGTATGAAGAATTGAATTACACTTGACCGTCAGTTCCTTCCTACCAACAATCCCCTCTAATAAAGCTCTGCAGCTTTATAGAGATTGGACTTTGATGATTTAAAGTTCTATGGCAGTGTCACTGTACAATGATAATTTCCTTTGTGATCTACCCAGTGATAATAATAATAATAATAATAATCCTTGCATTTGATATAGCGCTTTTCACGTCGGGAGGACGTCCCAAAGCGCTTCACAGAACACACTGTAAAGTGAATTGACTGTATATTTGTGGGCGAACGCGGCAGCCAATTGCGCACAGCAATGTCCCACAATAATAATAATAATAATAATCCTTGCATTTGATATAGCGCTTTTCACGTCGGGAGGACGTCCCAAAGCGCTTCACAGAACACACTGTAAAGTGAATTGACTGTATATTTGTGGGCGAACGCGGCAGCCAATTGCGCACAGCAATGTCCCACAAACAGTCGTAGATTGAAAATGACCAATTTATTATTGTTTTGTTTTGGAGGAATTATTATTAGGCTCTGTGTGGAGTAAGGAAACTTGCCCAAGGTTTCGCCCTCTGCCTGGAATTGAACTCAGGTCTCTCACTTACAAAGCGAGTGCTCTAACCACTGAGCTACAGGACTCCACTACCTAACGTTAATTTTTTTTTATCACTTTTGCACAGATTTGGAGTTTACAGTGAATTTCTTGTTTTCTGCTAACCTGTGCATATGGGAAGCTATACCTTATATAATTTACAAGTTTGTCAAAGTTGTCATTTTAAAATAGAGATGCTCATTCTAGTAAAATTGAGTGTCAATAACAACCCTGAGTCAGAGATCTGTGTTCTTGGCTATATACCAGCAGGAATTTCTCAATTATGAGCTCATACACGCCTTCATTGCATCAAGGTTTGAGTATGCAAACTCCTTGCTTGTTGGCCTCCCCAACTCCTCCCTCCATAGGCTGCAGATCATCCAGAACTCTGCAGCCCGTGTCCTCTCCCACACCAGGTTCCGTGACCCTATCACCCCCATCCTCGCCCGACTCCACTGGCTTCCCATCATACAGAGGATAGAGTTTAAGATCCTGGTCCTCACCTTCTAGCTCTCCATGGCCTTGCTCCCACCTATCTCTGTGACCTCCTAACCCCCTACCATTCTGCCCGCTCCCGTTGCTCAGTGGGCTCCAGCCTGCTTCACATCCCCCACCTCGCCCACCCCACCATCGTCAGGCAGGCCTTCTGCCTCTCTGCTCCCACCCTCTGGAACTTCTCCCTCAGTCCCTCTGCCTTGCCCCTTCCCTTGCCTGCTTCCAGACCCATCTCAAGACCCTCCTCTTTGACTGTGCTTTCGATAACACTGCTTCCCCCACTGACCTCCACCCTCCCCAATCCCGACCCCAGCTTGGGTCTGAAACACAAACTGTCCAGTGCCTTGGGACGTCCTCAAGATGAGAAAGGGCTGTACAAAAGTAATTTTGTTGTTGTTGATGTTGAGCTGTATTGCAAATGAATAACGTGAGAGGATTTCCCTCTGGTTTGAGGAAATAAACTACGCTTTCATAGAATCATAGAATTATACAGCACAGAATGAGGCCATTTGGCCCATCGTGGCTGTGCCGGCTCTTTTAAAGGTTGTTATTGAATCTGCTTCCACCACACTTGGAAGGCAGCTGGATTCCAGATCCGAACAATTCGCTGTGTGAAAAGGCTTTGAATGTTAATATTTCTGCTGAAAAACAAAACATTATCACCAGGTCAGCCTGTCTGGCAATCGGAAAAATGAACAACAACTTGCATTTATACATCGCCATTCATGTAGGAGTATCATGTTGGAGCACTTCACAGTGGTGAGGTTGGATGCCAAGCAAGGAAAAAGAGGTCACCATAGGTTGGGATTTAAAGACAGATAGGGAGATGCAAGGGTAAGGGATAGAGGCAGAGAGTTTCAGAGGTATGGGGCATAGTGACTAAAGGCTTGGCCACTGTTGGTGGCATGCAGCAGGCCTGTGTTAGCTTAGTGGTTGGTGTTAGCTGTGGAGTGGGGTAATAGCAGATCAACGAGAGAGATCCTATGGGTTTATAAGGGATTTATATGTGAGGGTGAGGAACTTGAAGTTAATCCTTTTGGAGACAGGGAGCTAATGAAGCATGACAAGGATTAGAGTGATGGAGGTGCGGAGTTTGGTGTAGGAGAGAATATAGGCAGCGAAGTTCTGGATTTTGTGGATTGTGGAGCTGATGAGGAGTGCACTTGAGAAATGATAAACTCTGGTACCTCAAAGTTCCTCTCCTTTCTTTTCTGCTCAGTGATCCCGATTGTTGTTGTGAAGCTTGTTGAGCCATTCTTCCTCATAATAGCTGGTACATAAGTGTATGTTGTTCAGCTATTGCTGGAGTATACAGTTTATTCCAATGGCAAAATACCGCAGATGCTGAAAATCTGAAATAAAAACCAAAGCAGCTGGGAACATTGTTCTGACGAAGGGTCATCGACCTGAAACGTTAACTCATTTTTCTCTCTCCATAAATGCTGCCTGATTTTCCAGCGACTTCTGTATTTATTCCAGTGTTCACCCCTCACTCAAATTCACCAGCAGAATGGTCAACTCAGTAGATGAACAGTCCTGCCTTATATCTTTCTATAGTGCAGCATTTTGTTACCTGCACCATATATTACATTTGAAATGTACATGTCATTAAAGGTGTTGAGACATATTGTCGTATCAGATTCTCAGAGAATGCTCAAAAATTTTATTTTTATTATGAATGAAGAAAGAAATTGCATGTTTTTGCAAAAAGTGAGTATCATTCAAACAATTTTTATAATGAAAGCTTAAATCAAGTTCTGAGTCCATCACTTGTGAACGGAACATTGCAGTAATGAACTGTTACTGAAGCTTCACATGTTTTCACATACCCCATTTTTATACTACAGCTCTTATTGCAGTTCACTCGCATTGCAACACCGACTGAAAAAAGCCTATGGAGGACCATAAATGGGAGTCTTTATTGTCAACCAATGAACAGCTCATCTACAATACAGTCACAACTAAACTTTGCAATAAAATCCTGTGAAGTGCTTTGAGACATTTTGACAACATGATAAGGCACTACATTAATTGCAAGGATTATTATTATTTATTATAATTCAATGCCATTATTCCATTAACCCAAGCAAGACCATTTGATTGCGAAATTAGATCAAATGTGAATTTCCAGGACAAGCATAAACTAAAGTGTTTCAGTGCTTGGTATCGATACGCTTGTAATTTCCCTACCCAATGTTCTGACAAGGTAAGCCATGATATAAAATACAGCCATGCGTATTTTTCTATTCTACAACATTATTTCTTTTTCGAAAGGTCCCATCTACCTTAAGATTCAGGTAAACTTTAAGGAACTCAACAATTTCCAGGCAAAACTGGTCATTCAATTCATGGCTGTTTTAAGGACATTGCTGTGCGCAAATAGGTTGCTGTGTTTGTCTAGAAATATACATTCACTCTATTTAACAGTAAATCCTGTGAAGGGCATTGAGACAAATCGATTTTAAGCAAACCTGTTTACCTAATTCTAGAGAGTATTAGGTGTAGATTTGCAAGAGTCAAGGCTTGGAGACCTCGAGCATGTTGTGTGGTAAACAGTGGTGAGAATAAGTTTCGCACCAGGTTCTGTGACCTATCACCCCCATCCTCGCCCGACTTCACTGGCTTCTCATCACACAGAGGATACAGTTCAAGGTCCTGGTCCTCACCTTCAAATCCCTCCATGGTCTTGCTCCCCCCTACCTCTGTGACTTCCTAACCCCCAACCATCCTGCTTGCTCCCTCAGCTCAGTGGGCTCCGGCCTGCTTCATGTCCACCGCCTCGCTCGCCCCACTATTAGTGCGCGGGCCTTCTGCCACTCTGCCCCCACTCTCTGGAACTCCATCCCACAGTCCCTCCATCTTGTCCCCTTCCTTGTCTCCTTGAAGACCCATCTCAAGACCCTCCTCTTCGACCGTGCTTTCAATCTCCCTGCTTCCACCCCTGCCCTCCACCCTCCCCGATCCTGACCCCCAACTTGGGTCCGAAACTCTGTCGGTTCAGCACCTTGGGATGTCCTCCCAACATGAAAGACACTTTACAAATGTAATTTGTTGTTATTGTAGTAGAACCACCCGACCTGTTAGGGCTTTGGCCTGCAAAGTTAACAGGAGCTGAGTGGGAGGATTTCCCTGCCCCCAGTGATTGGTCTGCCCTTCCAAGTCTAGCAATGAGCCTGGCTGGATGTGCTGTTATCACCAAGTCAGTCAGGAACCTAGGTGTCTTGTTCGACCCTCAAACCTCCTTCCCCACATCCAAGCCACAACCCGCTCTGCCTTCCCTCAACTTCTTAACATCGCCCGATTCCGCCACTATCTCACCCCTCAGGCTACTGAAACTCGTGTTCATGCCTTCATCACCTTCAGGCTCGACTATGCAAATGCCCTGCTTGTCGGCCTTCCCAACTCCTCCCTCCACAGGCTGCAGATAATCCAGAACTCTGCAGCCCCAGTGTCCTCTCCCGCACCAAACTCCGTGACCCCATCTCCTCTACTTTCGCCCGACTCCATTGGCTCCCTATCCTTCAGAGGATCCAGTTCAAGATCCTGGTCCTCACATACCAAGCCCTCCATGGCCTCGCCCCACCCTACCTCTGTGATCTCCTAACCCCCGACAACCCGCCCACTCCCTCCGCTCAGCCGGCTCTGGCCTGCTCCATGTCCCCCGATGCACCCGCCCCACCATTGGCGAGAGAGCCTTCAGCCACTCTGCCCCCAACCTCTGGAATTCCATGCCCCAATCACTCTGCCTTGCCCCCTCCTTAGCCTTCTTCAAGTCCTGCCTCAAGGCCCTCCTCTTCGACCACGCCATCGGTCACCCCCCTTCCCTTCCCCTCGCTTCTCTCCCCCCTGACCCCAGCTTGGGACTGAAATGCTGTCCAGCACCTTGGGACGTCCTCCCGATGTGAAAGGCTCTATACAAATGTAATCTTGTTGTTGTTATGGTTGTTATCAGCAGTGCCCTAGAATACCACGGATCCACCTGGCTCCCAATACTTCCACAGAGGGCGGGCCCTTTTCCAGAGTTCCAGAGTGTGAGGGCAGTGATGCTGAATGCCCAACTGCCAAAGGTGGGGCGGAAAATGCGGGAGACCTGAAGCAGGCCGGTATCTGTCTGATATGGGGTTATGAGGTCGGAGAGGTAGGGGGGAGCAAGACTGTGGAGGACCTTGAAGGCCAATCGGTGCTCGCTGATAGCTGGACTTATAAAGACCTATTTTTACACTGGCTCACCTTGCCAGGGAAGTAAACAAAGAGCTCTAAATGCTTCTTGTTGTGCTTTTATTTCAAGCACTGATCAAAATTTCAATCAAGCATATTCAGTGGACATCACCCAGCATTATTTTTATTATGTGGGAGATAAGCATCTGTTTAATTAAAGCATGATGGAACAAAATATATTCAGGCCAAAAGTTGCTATAAAGTGACAAACAATTGCCCATATCTGATCAATTTTAAGTTTGTGAAATATTGGAATGTTGTGTGATATACACAAGTTGGATATTTGCTTTGTTAACTAGGAACTTTATCACTGAGGACCAGAAAGGGTGAAAATTGGCAGATACGGACATATTCTGTACCTTGAAGTTTTAAGTGAGAAGCAATTTGCTCCTTGCCAAAACATTAATATTGGGTTATGATATAAAGGCTGCTTAAAGCTACCAAGGGAAAGATAAGTGGATCAAGAAAAAGAGTAGGCTGAAATAAGGGTTGATCCATTAAACAAACATTTGAGAGTGTTAGAATAGGGAAGGACTGCTAAATTAATATTTTGCTTCAGGTTTCTTCCCAGTGTAGTGGAATAATATAATACCAGAGGCACAGGGAAAAATGGAAATTCGCGAAAGGGACAGAGTCACGGCAACGTTTTAAATATATAAACAAATGAAGTTAGACAAATTTCTGGGACCAGATAACAACAACAACAATTGGATTTATATAGCACCCTCCACGCCGGACGGCGTCTCAGATAGTTGTGCCTAAGGGTACTAAAAGTAAAAGGTGAGGAAATTGTGGATGTATTACTCCAGTTATGATCTCACAATATTGATGAATTCCTGTTCTTATGTTTCTAAGGTGCCAGAAGATCTTGGATCCAAGCCTTGGATTGGGGATTTTGAGCTCATAGTCTAAGCTGACCCTCCGCTGCACTGTTGATGGAGTAGTGCAACGTTGAAGGTGCTACCCTTCAGGTAAGTTGTTAAACTGATGACCCATTTGCCTGTTCAGGTGGGGTTACAGATCCCATAGCATTATTCAAAACTCTCCCTGAGTCCTCTGGATAAAATTGTTCACTTACCTCAAGGCTGGGTGTGGGATGTTGCTAGGTGTGAATTGGCTCCTGCATTCACTGTACTTTACAGCAGTGGTGGCCAACCTTTATGCTCGTCCAATAAAAAACATTTTCTTAATTGAATATTTCTGGATTTAAGCCATAGAAAAAAAACTAAAACACACTACCGATTGGACAAGGACTTACCTAGACTCGTACGAATGTTAAGGGGGCTGCTTCTTGACGGCCTCCATAGGCCACAGGTTGGCCACCACTGCTTTATAGTATATCCTTTGAGACATTGTAATGTTAAAGGTGCTACATCAAATGCAAGCATTCATAATGCTAAAGATTTTTCTTGCTGCAGGTGATCTTATGCAATCACTCAATGCACAGCACCAATTTCCCTAGAAAATTTTACATAGTTGTGGCAGATAAACCACAGCCATTGTGACCCTACAAGGAATGATAAGTTAGGATAAATACAGAAATGCTGGAAATCCACAGGGGGTTGTTTCAGACACAAGTCTTCCTTGAATTGTTTATGTTGAAGGATACATTATTTTTTATCATTCAGATGCCAATTGACCTGTTTGCCAACATTTCTACTTTTTTAAACATGGAAAATTTTCTTTTCACCAGGTAACGCCATAAAGCATCAGCCAAACACAACTCTAAATTCCCCTGTAATAACATAGAGATAACATTTGTAGGTGTTTCTTATGGGTGTTGCTCAATACAAGGAAACACATTAAGAAACAAGCGCAATTGTTACACTTTGCTATATTTGTTGGATAGTACTATAAGAGGCTCCGTCATGGAATTCTCACTAGTTTTATTTGGAGAAGTTTCTCCTGGTGCAGTAGCCAACAACATAAAATTGTTCATGTACTTCATGGCTGTTTGTAGGACATTGCTGTGCACAAACTGGCTGACACAATTACCTGCAAAATATACAGTCACAATACCTTACCGTATATCCTGTGAAGCACTTTGAGATGGTCCAACACAATTTTACCCAAAACTGTATTTCCTGCTTGAAAATATATCTGTATAATAATAATAATCCTTGCATTTGATATA